AGTCCTGGTTTTCCGCATCAACTGAATGTGTTAGAATGTAAGTAACGTTAAATTAATAATACCTTCGGTAGTTGCTAAAACGGCAGCATGTCTCAGCTGCGCTCTTCTCGCCACTCTTCCACTGTTTGCATCCATACCCCCACTTCCTAAGCTTCAATTAATCTGAGATAAAAGGACTAGCATAACTTTTTTGTCTTAAATCTTATGATGTTAGCATATAGTATCAAATCGCAAGTTCTGTTTGCCTATTATTAAATTCACAGAGTGGAGAACAATGGGTCATATGCTATTTAAGATGTGGGCTATCAATGGCCGCACAGTGCGTTGGTGTACACGGGGGACATGTGTGGACGCTAAGATAGAGGGAGATCATATACGAAAAGATTTAATAGTTCTTTCAGCCCTATTATATGTCAGAACTACACATTTGATAGTGATATAATCATGACCTGTAAGATCGGATGCTCCAGTTTTAAGCCTTATCACTCTAGCAGTCCTCAATGCTTCCACGCGTATAGCCAGTCCCTTATCTTTAGAAAACCACTTTAGATGGAGTGAGCGGCGTGAGTACCAAAATAAACTCTTATAGGTGAAGCGGGGTTAATATGTCTAATTGTCGCAATGCTCACTCAGTAATTCGTACGCATATTCAGCACCAAGGTGATATGTGATACTGAGTAAATATTGGTAGGAGTCAAAGTTCACACCTCTATGCCTCGCCTCGATACATATTATAATTATTGTTCAGGGGTAAAGATCAGGTGTGGCGCATTAGTATGCCTAACATCCTACACTGCGACCGCACTGAATGATGTCTTCTGTTCAAATATCTGACGGTCTATACAATCCTGCCACTGAAGCGCAAGAAGATGAACCCTTGGCCGCACGGGCGGAAATAGGAAATAGAGGTTGATCCTCACGCCTTAATGCCTCAACCGTACATTATCTACACAAAATATATATATCTTGTATCTGTCCTTTAATCTGCGAGGTGGACTCCGAGAAAACCTATATGAAGGTATACGCAACTAACCGAAGCGTTAACATTTTCTATAGAGCAGAGGATTACTGACAATTCTGATGGACACCACCCAAAAATACTAATCTCTTCGTTTAAACAATCTGAGAATAGAGACTGGAAGTCTTTGCACGAAATTGTTTACTTGTGATACCAAACCGTCTTGGAGGAGGTACGGACCTCCCAGAGACTAAAATAGACAGGCAACTGAAACAACCACCCAACAACTTCCTACTTTCCACTTTTAACACTAGAAATCCACCTACTCTCCCTTTCTTTCTACTTTCTCTTCTTCGGCAAGGCCGTTGCGACGCTCTTCATCGCTCGCAACCCTAAAAAGTCGCGCTGTTTGTGCTACTGCCTGATCCCGGCTTTCACTACCTACGCGCACAAGCTGAATCGCAGTTCCTCAATGGTCAGGCCACGCAGACCCGGCGTTAGAGACAACCACCACGGGGGCTTTCGTCGCGGCTCCAAGTTTTCCGAGCAGCACAATGTCGCGAATACCTATACCAACCAATCATTATGTAATCTAAAAAGGTGGTGCGACTGGCATTACGCAATAAAATTATGATCCTCTTGATACCGCGCAAACATCTATTCTCCTCAAATTTACATACTTCTGGATGAGTTACTTCTTCCTGTAATGACTTGCACGAGAAACAGTGAGCTGGCATAATTGAATTCGATCTATACACCTATGCAGTAATTTAACGTTAACGGTTTCCTGGTTCACTCGCCGAGGTGTTATGCTTATAACGATCCAGACCTTATGACCTCGAGCGCAGTGGGCTCTCTCTTCGGGCCATTGTGAGCCTCTGCTGCGCACCCGAGTCCCCTCAAAAATCTTTTCCCGCCGACCCACAGCATCCTCCAGATTTCTACCCGACAAAGCCAGCTTTATACGGTCTTGAGCGACTCGCGCCCTCCCATGCTCTCTATTCGGCCCCATCCACGGCTGCGTCTCTGCCATAAATCCGACTCTTCGCATTTACGTTCTCCACGTCTCCCCGCAAATACACCATCCGTGTAACACCGGGGACACCTCGGTGGTGGCAGTAGCCCGCGTCAAATTATGAAGTATAGTGTGTTGTTTATCAATCATATTAGAAGCTTGCCTTAATCGTATCGCCCAAAAATTATAAGTTACTATCAGTTCGATGAAGGTTACAATTTAAAGGTCCCTTTGGCAACACGGTCCGACGTCTCAACCCACTGACCTCCAGCCTCCCCCCCCCTCCCCGTTCAACGGGCCCGGAGCTCTGACTTTTCATAAGATGACGACGCACCTCGCTCGGAAAGATTCTGGGTCTTCGACGCCAAGCAAAAACAATGTGACCAGTTTTTTCGCACTGGAAGAAGATTATCCAATTTTAACTAAAATAAAAGATTGCCATATGTTCTGGAGCAGAAAACGCCAGGAGGGCGCCATGGCATAAAGAAATTTCCCAAATGGAATCAAACTGCAAAAGTTTGAGTGGTGTTTACTTTATTAAATAGTATGTTGGTCAAAAACAGATGTTGTAATTAAATCCTGAAAAAAACATATATGTGCGAAGGCAAAAGAAACTATAAAAAGATGAATGAACGGTATATTCCGCAAGCACTGTTTGTGCTCTTTGTGTGAACGTCTGCGCCTAATTTAAAAAGTTTAGTGCCATTCGTTTTGTATTAGTGAGGAAAACACTGAAGAATCATGATGGAACTATAGGCAAGGAAAGAAGGACAAAGTGAATTTTCAAATACTGAATTGAATTTTACAGATTTACAAATTAAAAATCGAATGTACGGAGTTGCTCAGTCGTCAGACATGAGAATGCTTGTCCAACCGCAAGGGAACCAGGGTGAACGGGAGTAAGCCCTTCGCTGATCGAAGGCGTGATAAAAAAAAGAACGCGGCGATTAATTTAATTATTTCGCCAGAAAATATAGGGGGTTTAAGACAGACTATGAGTAGGAATAAAAGGGCTATATGTTGCGGGGAATCCCAGGCTTAATAACTCCTTCTTCCATTGGTCAGGACAAGGCTGCTATTCCACAAGGGGTATTTGGCATAGGGGGCCCTCTCAAGACCACAAAAAGTGGGGAGGGGGGCGATGGCCTATCTGTTCTTTTTCGTCGTGCAATTCTCACTGAAATCCCAAATCTGTCCCCTCCTGTTTATTCTTAAATCCTCTAACCTTAAATGGTCCGTGTTCCTTCCTTTTTTTTAAGTCATCCAAATTGATTGTTGGTATGTACACAAAAAATCTAAATTATAATGATCTAATAAACTGTTAACTTGTGGACCATTTTCACCAATCAAAAAACCACTTCTAACTATTCATATAAACCTTGGTTTGTTTCCCGTTGTACACGTAAGCTAGGTCAAATTTCCTGTGCTCGCATTAACCAACATCATTGAAAATTGTGGCTAACCGATGGGGTGAAAGGAAAAATTGTAAAAACGACTATAACATGACCTGGCTTTCTATTAAATCACATTCCCGTCTATTTAAAATCCGAAATTGAAGGAAACAATCCACTGTACTCCTGGGGTACAACTAGGCTTCCAGGGACGAGCACCTGTGGTCCAGAAGAATCTCTGTCTAATCCTTGAAACACAGCAGGAGGGTCCCATGTGTGGCAGACCAGGGCCGAAATTCCAAGGGACACGCACTCGGAAACGGTCAGCGTACGCGCCACACGACAATAGTTGCGCCTGAGGGGGGATTTGGTCCATAAAATTCCTTATACTTGGGTTGGGTGCCTGTTTCAATACAAACAAAGTTCGTACAAAGAGCATAAAAGTATTATATATAAAAAAACAGTGTAGGTGGTTGTGGTTACCTTTGTGCATATGTCGCATATGTGAAAAAAAAGCGTTACGGATCGTCTCTCAACTTGGCTGTGGCTTGATAGTGACGGTTAGGTGGTTGTTGTGTTGTTTTTGGGGGTACTAACCGTGCAAGGGATAGATGCGTTAAGAGCACGGGCCAAAAGCAATAATGAAAAGAGACTGATTCTTGTTAAAAACACAGTATTTTCGAAAGCAGGGACCCTTTTCGCCTGATATTTTTAATTTTATATCCAGTCCCGGCAAATCATGAAACGACGGAGCAAACCGCACCATTGGGGCAGTATATACTGAGTAGAAAAGAAGTTCGTCAAGAACCGTCTTTAATGACGCTTGCGAAGCCGTCAACGAAATACTCCAGATGAAAATGAGTGCAAATGTATGAGGCACCAAAAATATCGAGCCGGAAAAGTTTGCATATCAATTTTCAGACTTCTTGTAAGGGGGAGCCCACACACAACCACTTGTAATGGAATATCCACCACCCATCCGCAAAACTAAACCCCATATTTAAAATTAATCCAAGCACGCAAAGCCAATCCATGATTGAACAACAGTTTTTTATGTGATTTTCAAAGTCATTCGTTCGAGGTCCACTAAACCCACACTGAGTCAACCAAAACTCCTCAACAAAGTTCACCTTCGACGAACAACTTCCCCTTAAAGTGGCCCGGTTCCCTCTGGAGCGTAGATGTCAGGTGGCGATTTCCAGGCGATTCAAAGGGTTCAAAGCGGCATCATTTCTCACGCGGTCCAGCCCAGACCTAGGCTCGTTGTAACGTGAGGGCGGCATTAGCTAACTCTTAGAGACAGCGCATCCAAGCTATACATGCCCCAAGTGGGCAAGGACGATCCCATCTGTATTGCCTGGGAGGGGCACGTAGCGAGCATCGTGGGCAATTTCGGCCTTTTGGGGAGCTGAACGAGATTTGAAAC